ATATGTAAATACACCAGGATGGAAAGGTAACTTTGATCCATAGTCCTGGTTTTTATGTTGTTTTTTTAGCATCAAGTCTCTGACCGGCAGCAGGCCAAGCCCAGGAAAAAAAGCCTGACAGGTCTGAGGCAGTTTCCTTCAGGATTCATAAACTAAAGAAGTCTATCCATCCATCCATCCATTTCCACACTTTATCAGGTTTTTATATCGATGAAGATATTTCTCTAAATTAACCAGCCAGTGGCTTCTTTCCGTTTAAGTTTAGATTTAAAAAGCACAGCTTACACAACTAAGTTCTTGGGAAATTTTGGGTAAAATCCTCCTGATTTCCAGCTTAATCCCATAATGGAAACTGGTCAGTCTTTGTTAAAGTAGCTGCAGCTGATTGTCTTTGTTTAAATCATCACGACATGGGATAAACACAAAATAGGATAAAATAATCCCACACAACTGACATTTTTACAGGTAACTTCAAATTAACATGGCCGTCTTAATGGTTAGGACACAGACCTTGGGGTCAAGAGATGCTAATGCTAATGCTAATGCTAAAGGCTGTGCTGGAAAATGACCGGACCGGATATTAGGGAAAATATGGCAAAGTGGGATAGATTATTTTAATCGATGGGCTGGAAAACCACCGCACGGTGGTGTGGTGGTTAGCACTGTCGCCTCCCAGCAAGAGGGTTCTGGGTTCGAATCCCGGGGGAACCAGGACCTTTCTGGGTGGAGTTTGCATGTTCTCCTGTGTCTGTGGGTTCTCTCCGGGTTCTCCGGCTTCCTCCCACAGTCCAGAAACCTGCATGTTAGGCTGATTGGAGATTGGGGAAATTGCCCTTAGGAGTGAATGTGAGTGTGTGTGGTTGTTGGTCCTTGTGTGTCTCTGTGTGGCCCTGCGATGGACTGGCGGACTGTCCAGGGTGTACCCTGCCTCTCGCCCGTTGACCACTGGGATAGGCTCCAGTTCCCCCCGCGACCCCATCAGGGAATAAGCGGTATTGATAATGGATGGATGGATGGGCTGGAAAACGGACATTTTTTTAAACAGGATCGGGTGTCTGCATCAGCATTTTTCACCTGCCGGCCGATACGCATTTTTTTTCCAAATATCACATAACACCATAACCAGAGCGCTGCATCATTTAAAGGGCCAGCAGCCTGAAGCATTGCTCAGCACCACTTCATTTGCTGCCCGAGGGCTGAACGACACCCGATAATCACCCATCCCTGAGCCGTCCTGTTAAGCAACTATTTAACTACTTCCACAGCTTTTTCCACTCAGATTTGTGCCGCATTAATAATAATGCGGCACAGATGCGCCAGCAAGACGTGCACCAACAATTTGTCCTATTTTGAACTCTGGTATGTCACCCATAATGTTGTGTGCATTGCAATATTTTGAGCAAAACTGTGCTCTTACCCTGCTAACTGGACCTTCACAGTCTGCTCTTATTGGTTCAATGTGAAATGAATGAAAATTGGCCACCAGGCTGGTCCAATTTAGCCATGAAACCTCCCACACTAAAATGAGAGGTGTTTCAGTTTCATTGTCCGACCCCTGTACTTCCACAGCTTTTTCCACTCAGATTTCAGTGTCAAACGTTTAAAATGGTGGTGCCTTAACCCGCATTAATAAACGCATCATCTCGGGTTGTTTTAAGAGCACAGACCTGCAGCCTGCCGGGTCATAACGACTTCCCTCTCCGACTCTTTTGTGAGATACAATCATAGGCTGTCAGAGACATATCACCTACAGCCAGCTCAACTTTTCCCACAACTTTGTGTGAGACGCCTGGTGCCTATTCCCTCTCCCTCTCCCTCTCTGACAGGTGAGAATTATACTGTGTCCTTGTCATCTGCAGAAGGAGCGAGACAGACAATATTCTCCGAGCGATGCTATTTCAGACTCTGGCAAAGCCTGCCTCCATCTTCCGCTATCTCGCATCTCCATCTGGTGAAATCTGTAATGCTGTTCAAAAGTATTATGTCAACAGGCGGCTGCGATTGATATTGACAGGAGGGAAAATAAAGAGAGGGATGGATTTTTGCTTCGGGTGATTGAGCTCCGGGGGCCAGTTTCAGGCTCTTTGGCTTCTTTTTTTTTTTTAAACACAACCACTTTGCAATCAGTGAAATGATGATGGTCAATTCGGAACTGAGGATTTCCAAAAATAAAGGTGGTGCATCAGATAATGATTAAGGTTCTGGGTTATAACACCTATGACAGGTGTACTACTGTGCCTGGTAAACAAAAAGAGGAGATATACTCTTTTTTTTTCTACAAAAAAGGTTGTTAGCAGCCTGTAAAAAAGGGAAACACAAGAAAACTGAACAAAGCCGACCATTCAACACAGCCGGACTGGCATTAAAATGGTTAAAAAGATATATATAACGGAGCTGTTGACATGTAGGATAAAAACTCAAGAAGAATTATGTAGAGACAACCATTAAGTTGTTATCAGAGTAAATCCCTGTTCAACACGAGTCTGACAACTAAGTAAGTTGATAAATAACTTTTAACTTTAATAAATGCTCAGATCAGAGGTGAAAAAAGCTGGATCGGGACATCCCTGCCTTGATGTTTATGTTTGTTTTTTTTCCATTTTTTTCTTTTGTTCCTCCCATTCATCTATCTTAGAAGCAAACTCTCCCCCCCCACCCTGATCCATGGTTCTGCTCCAGGTTTTTGCCTCTTAAAGTAAGTTTTTCCCTTTCTGTGTGTCCTAGTGCTACTCTTGGTGGGAACTGTTTGAATTGAATTGCACACCACCACATCAGCACATACATGGAGAGAACATAGTTGTAAAAAGATTATACGTTTCTTTATCACACTTCCTTCTTAACAGGCAGTTTTTCCCTCCCTGTGTCTCCTAGTGCTGCTATTGGTTTGAACTGTTATTCTTCTGTAAATAACTTCAGAGTCTGAGCTGCTCTGTTTGGATAGCTGGGAGAGAACTGCTGTTGTTGTGATGTGGAAAAATGATTTGAATTGAGTTTAATTCAAAGAAAGCGTTAAAAACTGTTAACCTAAACAGCCGGGGGCCCGGTTACCTGCTCTAGAGGCGGCGGGGGGGCGCGGGAGCTCGCAGATCTCGCAGTAGGGCAGCAGGCTGCTGTTGGAGTAGGTGCAGGCCCCACAGCTCCACCTCTGTCCCGGGTCCAGGTCCAGGTCCTGGTCCTGGTCCTTGTCCGGGTCCTGGTCCAGGTCCAGGTCCTGGTCCAGGTCCGGGTCCTGGTCCAGGTCCGGGTCCTGGTCCTGGTCCAGGTCCGGGTCCTGGTCCTGGTCCAGGTCCAGGACAGCTGGGTCCGCCCCCCCCGGCTCCCCCTGGGGGGGGCGGGGGGTCCGGGGGCGCTTTAGTGGGGGGGAGAAGTCCGGGTCGGCGGGCGTCGCCGTGGAAACGGAGGGAGACGGCTCTTCGTCGGCGGTCTTCTTCCTCTTCTTCTCCTTGCGGCTCGGGGAGAAGAAGGAGCGGATGTCGTGCTGCTTCTCTTTCTCAAACTAAGAAAAACAACAACAACAACAACGTGCTGAAAATAACAATAAAAAAATAAAATAAATTTCCCTTTTAAAAAAGCTGGCTGAAGCATTTTAAGGCCTAAATGGTTGGAGGAGTGCAGCTTGTTTCTCAGCTTTCTGCAGAGGTGAAAATGAGCCTGGCTTTGGATCAGGATTTCTGCCAACAGAGATCTGGAACAGTGGTGGTTCTGATGGGTCCGTTATGGTCCCATTCAAGTCAGTGGGTTTATATATCAGCTATTAATCCTAAAGAGAAACTATTAATGAATATGAATTAGGGGTCTTGATGAAGGGTTTCTGAAATCATGGAGTTCCACCTTAAACTTGCTTGTGAAACACTCATTTTATTCCACGGCTGCACAGTAAAAATCTGATTTTCTTCCTTAATTACCACTAATTTTAAGGCAGTTTCTGCCAGTCAAAACTAACATTGGAGTTATATGCATTAAATATAAGAACAAGAAACGTTTTTAACCGAATAACATTATAAATTAAATTACTTTTGTTGTATTTACTAATTAACCTGTTCGATTAGTGGCATCCTGATTGGATTTAAATGCTAATGTCAGAGATGTTTGAAGGGAAATCAGTCGATGGATGAAGCATAAAGGGATGAAACCAGAGAAACCAAAGCAGAATATCAGACAGAGAAATGGGAATAAACAGAGTGTTTCAGATGTACTCTCTCTGATACTCACATGAGTAAAGAACAGGTCGTCCCTGGGGTCTCCCGCCCCCGGCTGCAGGGGCTCGCTGGGCGTCCACGCGTCCGCAAAGTTTAGGAACTCCCACTCGTCCTTGTCCCCCTCGTCAGCCTTCAGGTTCTCCTTCCTGCCGTTCAGCGTGGTGCCGGTGACACTTTCCTGAAGGACAGGACACCTTCAGCTTCCCCCTTTCACCTCCTGGCTCCTCAGCAAAGACTCCCCGAAATCACTAACAAGTTTTTTCTTTTTAACTCATTGACTGCCAGCCATTTTCAGAACAGAGAGTCCCATACTGCCAGAGTTTTTTGAGCATTTTGACTGATTTTTCGAGAGCCACAGAATAGTTTGTGCTATGACTATGTAAACACCGAACACACCAAAAGAAAGAGTAGACTCTCTTCTTTCATCAGGAAAAAAAATTGGTTTCTACCTTATTCCATTCTTCCTCGACTTGCGTCTCACCGGCGACATGTTCTCTCATAGAGAACCGTTGCGTTTTTTTAATTTGCCTACAATCTATAATCATCTCCCATCAAAAGTGACACAGCTACCTAGAGGGTAAATTTGTTACTACATACTCTGTCTAGAAGCCGATATTTACGGACAAGCTTTAGCAGATCGTCCCCCAGCCACTCGCGTTGAAAAACATAAAAGACGTCTATAGACGTCTTTGGCAGCGAATGAGTTAACTGACATCTTCGGAGGCTGAGGCAGATTAGCATAAATTACTTGCACGGTGTCATCCGCAGTACCTTCCTGTTGAGCATGGACCACATGACGGTGTCAAAGGTGCCCTTGGCGATGAGGTAGTGCACGTTGACAGAGGACGTCTGGCCGATGCGGTGGGCGCGATCCTCCGCCTGCTTCACGTGTCCCGGATTCCAGTAGAGCTCCGCAAACACCACATGGCTGGCAGCCGTGAAGGTCAAACCCTGGAGAGCCGACAAACGCGCTCATTAGCAGCCGAATACGGACAGGAGAACATTCAAAACCAGCAAAAATGGAAGCTACGTTTGAAGAAACGCATGAAATCTGTGAGGTTTCTCTTAATTCAACTGACTGTCATCACTACATTTGACCAGAATACGTCACATTTTGTCACTAGAAGTTAGCAGATTTACAAGATTAATAGTTAAACATAAAGAGTGACATGTTTTTTGTGATATTATTTGTCATTATTTGTCTTTTTGCTTATAATTAAAGCAGAACAGTGATTGATTGATTGATTGGTTCCATATCTGCCTATTATGTCAGTACCTGTCCGGCTGCTCATTAGCAGCCAAATACGGACAGAAATGCATTCAAAACCAGCAAAAATGGAAGCTACGTTTGATTAAACTCTCTAAAATCAACTGACATTTGACAAGAATACGTCACATTTTGTCACTAGAAGTAAGCAGATTTACAGGATTAATAGTTAATCATTAAGAGTGAAATGTTTTTTGTGATATTATTTGTAATTTTGCTCATAATTAAAGCACAAATAGTGATTGATTGGTTCCATATCTTACTATTATGTCAGTAATTTAGTATTATTTAGTTCACTTTTCTTTATAATTCACAATAAAATGTAATCTATATGTAAAGTTTAAAGTGTTTTTCAGGAGGTACCTGTCCGGCTGCCAGGATGCTGAGGATAGCTACTCGAGTTTCTGGGTCGTTTTGGAACTTATGGACCAACTGGATCCTTTCTGATGACGGCACGCTGCCATCAATTCTGATGTAACCAGCCTGGGAAAGACATTTTGTTCACAGAAAAAATTAAAACTGTTTCATGCAAAAGAATAAGGTAACTTTCGTCTGCAAATTTGCATTAAGAGATAAAAATAGCAGCTGTTAGCTAAAGACAGTAGCAAGCAATTAGCTTCTGTTTTGACATTTTTTCAATTTTTTTCCCCCATTTTTTTCTGTTAAAATTATATTATTAAATAAGATCCACAACCAGTAACTCAAAGTAAAAAAAAAGTGCTTTTATTAGCTAGCAGAAGCTGTTGAAACCAAACAAAATGGCTGCTTACTGAAATATAAAAAGGTGCCTGGATGGTTGTAAAGAAAAAAAAATCATGTATTTCAGATTGAATGTGTTCTTTTTCAATATTTCCTTATTTTAACAAAAGTTAATAACATAAAAACAGAATGTGATTGGGTTGTGAAGGCTGTCTATCCTCTTTAAAAATGGAGAGCATTGTTCAAAATGGGGGCCAATAAAGGACAGCATAGTTTCATCGACCTGTATTTTACAATATCGGAGACATTTTAGAAAGAAACGAGCAAATGGAGGCGCCATAGAAAACCAGGCGGCAACAATGAATTGTGCATTTCAAATCAAACAACGCAGTATTCAGTGTCCCTGTAAAACCAAACAAAGACAGCAGCGACTGCACATCCATTAGAGCTGAACTTGACGCTGACATTCGCCAGGCTGCTAATGCACCTGAATCTTTTGATTCTTGCTCAGCGGCCGCCAGCAGGAAGCCGGATTCAAACTGTGAGGCTCACCTGTACGAGTTAGTTTATCTGTGACTGCACGAATGTGAGGGCGAACCTCAGAGAAAAAAACACACACGTTATGTCTGATTCAGGATTCAAAACGCTTCCTTTATCCTGCAGGAAATTACTGAGATACAGATTTAAATTAACCTTTTAAAGCCCGATCCAAGAATAAAACAAAACAGAAAATTCCTTTTTTTTTGTTTGAATTCCTTATTTGGCCTTTTAACAAAATATGTAAAAAGAAAAAACATAAATACATTTTTAATATTAATCATTTATTACTATGCGATAAGTCAAGATTATTTTTTGTGTAGTCTTCTGCCCCCTGTTATCAGGTGTATCTGATTGTGTACAATAGGATTTCGAGCAAAGTTTTTACCGTTAAATTATGCAAAAGGTGTCAGACGCAAAACATTTCAGAAACCGTATGTATCAGATATGATACATTTGGCATTACAGGGATAAATAAACGCGACTTGAGTAGTGCAAAATTAAAGCAGCCTTAGTATTAAGTGGTCTATTTAACACTAATCTACCTGTAATTTTTGCATTTATACTGTCTTATACACAATTTTCAAACATTATAAGTCTATTATTTGTTATTCTTTTCCAGGGTAATTTATGTAAGTTGTATTTGTTTTATATTGTATTATTTAGTATAAATAGTAACATTTTACATTCCATTAGAGTAACTACCACTGTATTGCAATGCTCTCACAAAATAAAAATTAAAAAAGAAAGTAGCCTTTTTAAAATACAACCAATAAGTAATAAGTAAAAAAAGACATGGCGTGATACAATGAAGTGTTAGGACACAGTATCTACACTGTTCCTGTCTCAGCCAGAGGCAGTTAGATTTAAATTTTAAGTAAATATATTTGTGAAGATTCTCGGTCATCCAGAACCCCTTAACGACCATTAACACCCCCCATGGCCCCCCCAGTAGGAGGGACCAGAGCCACCCTTTGTTTTTTCCCTTAATTTTTTAGTTCCATCATTTATAACTGAAGAAGCTTCTTGGATCAGAGGCCAAAAAATCCTCTAGAAAACTTCACATCCGGTTGACTAAACTGAACTTTTCAAGTTTAATTAAATAGTTTGACTATTCTTGAAAATACGAAAAGTCAATCAACAGTTTTGAGTTTTAAGAGGGTTAAACCACATGATAAAACAAGAAAGGCTTCACAAACCAACGATACTTCAAAGCAGATGTTTACCTGTGAGCTTGAGACACTCAAAGTCGTATTAAATATAGAAAACATGACGCTAGGGGAGGTTTGGGAAACAGTGTTAACCCCGTGATTAGAACAGTCCCTTCTCTCTGCCAACATCACATCAGGCTGCTTTGCTTGTCGTTCCTTTTTTTAGCTCGTTTCTGTTAATTGGTGATCGCGAAACGCACCAGACTGAGCATCTCAAGGAGGAACGTGTTATCACACGTCGCACCACCACGTTACGACACGCGGTTGACAACTCCTCGACCCCACCAACACACACACGCTCGAACTGTTTCACAGGTTGCCGGTGCCAAGCTAAAAGAAATCATTCGCTTGTAATTGAGTTGAGAAAAAGTTGAGAAAGAACTTTCTAAGAGAGGGAAAAAAAAAACAAGTTTTATTAGATAACGTGTGCAAAAAATGACTCAAAAAGCTGCACCTGCTCTGCACAGTGCACCTGATTTAAGGTGGAATATTTAATAATTCACGATGACTAACATCTGCTGTTGCAAAAGCTGAACTTGTGAGATTAGACATCATTAGTCTGTCAAAGCTAATATGACTGACTATGACTGGGGTTCGACATGGGAACACAGCAGGACGATGGATGAAAGCATAAGACTAAAACATGGGGCCCAATTAGCTCTGGAAAGGAGGAGTGAAATATGAATTCATATGGGACTTTTGGTCTGTCTGGGCTATCGTTAACAGGCAAAAAACGCCCAAACCTGCATGGAAATTAAATGAAAATGAGGCAAAATGCACCATCATTCATGTAAAGAAGCCCTTAGTCTGATTTGTGGAGTCATGATTACACTAACTCTGGTTAATTTGTGGGCCAGTGTCAGTTTGTGAATCATTCCAAACTGATAACGCTTGACAAAAGATTTTAAGCTATGGAAATATCTTTTAAAATGGTAAAGATGATGAACTGGTAATTATTTTTTGTCTACAGGAAAAAGACAGAAAAATACATTAATAATTATTGAACTGTACATAACAGAACAAAAAATAATATTAACAATTAATCCGGACAGTATATAGTTTTGTTCATGTTCTTTGTTTCTTTTAGTTTTTTCCTCCCCTTTTTTCTTTTTGCAGACCTGGTAATTGTCAAAAAAAAGAAAAATAAAGTTAAAAAAAAAGAAAATGAGAAATATGAATATATAGGACATTGTTTACAAGCTTGAGTCATATTCCAATCTGGACATTATATAGTTTTGTTTACATTATGTGTGTGTTTTAGTTTTTTTCTCCCTTTTTTTCTTTATGCACACTTTGTAGTTGTCGACAAAGAGAAATAAAGTTAAAAAAAAAAGAATATGTGACATATGTACATATAGGACATTGCTTACTAGCATGAGTCAGATCCCAATCCGGACAGTATATAATTTTGTTCATGTTTTGTGTTAGTTTTAGTTTTTTCCTCCCCTTTTTTCTTTTTGCAGACCTTGTAATTGTCAACGAAGAAAAATAAAGTTTTAAAAAAAGAAAATGTGACATAGTTTTGTTTATGTTGTGTGTTTGTTTTTGTTTTTTCCTGTCTTTCTTTCTATTTGCACACCTTGTAATTGTCAACAAAGATAAATAAAGTTTAAAAAAAAATTAAATGTGACATATGAACATATAGGACTTCTTTTTGCATACCTTGTAATTGTCAACGAAGAAAAATAAAGATTAAAAAAAGAAAATGTGACATAGTTTTGTGTACGTTGTGTGTTTGTTTTTGTTTATTCCTCCCATTTTTTCTCTTTGCACACCTTGAAATTGTCAACAAAGGAAAACAAAGTTAAAAAAAATATATAAAATAAAAGTTTCTTGCCCAGATCCTGCCCTGAGTCCCTTTCTTTGGCTCACCTTGGCCTCGATGGCGGCCTCGGTGCAGGCCTGCAGCATGGTGAGGTGGTGCCCGAACACCAGGAACTTCATCTGCTCATCCTCCAGCATCATCTTAATGTAGTCCTTCACAGCCCCCGCCTGCAGGCACCAACAGGAGAATCCATCAGAGCTCACACAGGAGAAGCCGGCCAGGAGTCAATTAATCACCACGGCTTCCTTTCTGTGGGATCGATCCACTATCGGACACCGAGGATCCAGACCAGAAAAGGAGAGGCTGCGTTTGCCAGCTCACAGACACCGAGAGATGATCAATAACTGGCTGCTCAGTGATATGATTGGTGTTTCTTTGGAGAGAAATCTGCTTTCTTGACACCTGAACAGCCAGATGAAGCTCAACACTCACTAATCTCACTAATCACTACATTCAGTTGAGTCCCATCTAAATGCAGGCTTCAGATCAATATAAGTTAAACATGTTTGTTTTTTTAATCAATTATCGGTTAATCAGAGAAGAGTTACTTCCACTATCTACACAAACTCTACAGGATTTTGGAATAAAATGAACAACAAAATTTAAATAATGTGTAGAAATAAAACCAGTAAAATCAGTGTATGACAGTAATTGGTACAAGTGGCAAATTAACCTAAGATTTAGCCATTTTTAAATGAAAAAATGCGTTGTTTTTCATCACTTTATGCCAAATATTTATACATAAAACATACTGTTTATATATGTTACACTTATATATGTGCAATACATTGTGGTTTATGGAATAGCTAATATAGTTTAAGAGTTAGGAGACACAACGTGACTGCATTTGGCACATTCCTCGTTTTTTTTTTTTTTTTCATACTCCTATTTGTGGCTTGCAAACACTCAGAGTAAGTTTCTGGCGAGTCACCTGCCAAAGTGAAAGCAGCGGTCCAAATTTAATGCGGAAAGTTTCTCACACATTTCATTCTGAAGTTTTTCCTTACATAACTCTGCTTTTTTTATTCATGACTGACATTTTTTTCCTCTTTTTAGGCTTGTTTTATTGATAAAGCGAAGTGGTAACAATGGTCTCAAAACACGAAAGTCACCATCTAACAGACTCCTGCTTGTTCCTCTTGAAAGTCCCTGAGCTTGATTGACTGTGTGGAGCTAATAACCTAAAAAAAGATGATGGGAAATGGTGAAAGCTCTGCAGATATCCGTCACTTGGCCGTTCCCGGTAGCTCAAACTGCAAAAAGCCGGAGAGTCTGAGCGTGTCACTGAGGGTCCGGGCCACAAATAGCACCAACTAGTGAGCAACTCTGAGGTCTGATTTGAGTCGAACGGAAACCCTCTTAAGGCCTCTGGAAACCTGACAGCCCTTTTCCAGCCATCACACCTGCTCTGAGAGGGAGAACCTCTGCTTTCCCCTCGCCGATAATTAGCCGACGCGCCTGATAATGAACGTTTCCACCAGGCCTGCCGACCCCGTTCTGATCCGAGGGAACCTCATTACCCACGGCTTCCTTCCGCCGAGTTTAATTAGCGCAAACTTCTCGGTCCGTCTGAATGAAGCCGCACCGCCCGTAATGTTCGCTTTAAAGTCCGGCATCAGAGCCGTCCTCTCTGGGTAATTGGGAGCAGATGCTTGGCGGGTAAAGCAACAAAAATACCCCAAAGGCGCTAGCTTGGCAGGTCCTGTCGCCACGACGACTGGCAGGATGGCAGGACCCCGAAAAGCTCGTCAGAGTGACATAGATCTGTGAGTCCATCAGACTAACCGCCCCCCCCCCCACCCCCCCATGGTCCAGAAACAGAAAAAGAAGAAAGCGAGCCCTTATTAGCCCTTATTTCTTAGGTTTCCTCCTTCTGTCTGCTCCTTTCTACACACTTCTGGAAGGCTTTTAATGCCCTGCACCACTACAGCATTTTTAGTTGTTTCTGTATGTTTTGTATGTTTTTTTGTATTGTTTTATGGCTTTGTTGTAAAGCACTTTGAGTACCATTTGGGTATTGTAAAGGGCTAAACAAATAAACTTGATTGATTGATTGATTGATTTTTCTGAAGTAAATAAGGCTGCCCGTATCATCACAGCTCCTATCCTAACCCTAACCCGCACCTCTACCCCCCCACAGCTCCTATCCTAACCCTAACCCGTACCTCTACCCCCCCACAGCTCCTATCCTAACCCTAACCCGTACCTCTACCCCCCACAGCTCCTATCCTAACCCTAACCCGTACCTCTACCCCCCCACAGCTCCTTCTGTAGTCCCTCTACCTCTATCTCTATCTCACCACTGACTCTGATCAGTGTTTCTCCTCTGTATAGCTTATTGTCATAGTGATGATAAATGTAAGATTGTGTCTACTCTGTAAATCGCTTTGGATAAAAGCGTCTGCCAAATGCATGAACATAAACAACATAAACAAGTAGGGAAAGTGTTTCTGAACTGATGGGGGAGGAAATGAGAAGCGAGGGTGGTGGTATGAGGGGGGGGTAATGAAAGGAGGTCCAGTCCAGTGTTAGGCTAAACTGAGCACAAATCCAATCAGCAAACAACAGCAAGTGTGAAAGAGATCAGAGCTCGGAGGCAGGCTGAGTGAGCAGCGTGTCAGTGATTGCGTTCGGTGGTTATCTCCGGTCTTTGTTAACCTCGGGGCCGCGCTCCTCACGGCTGAGGGCGTCCGGCTAATTGAGAGGAACGCCGGCCCCCTTGAAAAGCGGCAAATGATTGGAGAGGAACGCTCTAACTAGAGGAGCTGTTTTCCTTTATTACAAACACGAGACGCGGAGGAAGGAGCTGCCTGTTCTCCGAGCGGAGAGAGAGAGAGAGAGAGAGAGAGAGAGAGAGAGAGAGAGAGAGAG